AAGGAAGTAAAGGTAGAAAAGGACACTAGGAAGGGTCTAAGCATTCTAGGTCAAAGAGGGGGAAAGATGCATTATAAAGCAAGTGCTAAGAATACTATCATGAGGTTCAGGTGAAAAGCAGTTTGAATAGTGCGAAGCATTAAATACACACATTTTTTATTATTGTTATAATATCAATGTTAATAGCTAGAAAAGTTACATAACATTGGAAAAGCCAGGTTTCCCCAAACCTCCCAAAGTGCCCTCCCTACCAGGTCAAAAAGAAATACAATGTTCTCCTCCCTTGAACTCTTACACTGCCTGGTATGTCTTTTCTTAGGTATTTATACAACCGCGAAGCACTGACTAAGCAGCAACTACATGACAAACACTTCAGTAGGCACTTTAATATATACCCCCCTTTGGAGCAGATGACACCAAAATTTAAGATTTGTTTCCCTTTGCAGAAGATAGAAAGGTTAAGTTTCTTGAGCCAAGACTGCTGCAAATAAGCACAGGAGCGCAGGCTTCTGACGCCAAGCCTTATCGTGCCTTTTCCACTAAACCCAAGTTGGAACTTGCCATATTTATTCTTATCTCCCTTAAAATATAAGCAAATTTAGGGCACAAACATCTCATTTATCTTGCTAGCCTCTGAAGCACTTATGGAAGCAAAGGGCCTTCTAATCGGTCAATTCTCACTGTGTTTTGTTGTCTGAAAGAAGGAACGAGCATCTATGCAGGCATGCAGCCCTCACTGGCAGTGAGCGCCTGTGGGCTGGTAAGCCTTGAGGACTTCTTTCCAAGGCGGACTTAACAACAAAAAGTTCTAAAAACAAATTCTGTACTTGTGAAAGATGCCACCTGGTCTGCCTCAGGGGCTGAAGTCCTCTCTTTATGCACCAAGTGGGATTAGCACAGCAAGTGACAGAGCTGATTTACTTCAAACCACTCCTACAAACTTGGAGCCAGAGAAGGGCCCACACCTTTCAGGGAAGAGAAGTGCAGCCTCTGTTGCCTGTTTAACCTCTGGTGTCACTGCTGGAACTGCCAGCAGTCTGGGAGGGAGGGAAGGCAGAGCACATTGAGTGCCAGCTCTGATGATGTAACCTTCTAACTCACAGCTTTTCTGCCAGGAAAAAAAAAAGCAACCAGTTTAGAATCTCTATGTCCCCCCCACAACACCCGCCAAAACTCCCCAACCCCACCCTGCTCATATACATCCAAAATCCATTCTGTATAACTGACCACAGGCTTTTTTTCCCTCTTTCCCACTGTTTTTTGGTTTTTTTTAATTAATAGTACTTAATGCCTAATTCAATGGACTGGTTTGGCTTCCTTAGAAAACTGATGTACAAAGCTTGAAATATGCCTGTTTCATAAATGCCCCCTGTGCAAGAAGAACATGAAGTTCTGAGAAGCGCTTATTTTGTAAGCCATATACATTCACAGTAGGAGGCCAGGGAAGAAGACGCATTGAGACACCAAGAAGGTGTGCAGTCAAGTGTCCCCATGCTGCCAGAAACACTAGACAACTACTGCCGGATGCTGGGTGGACAGACAGACCTCGGAAGTGGGACTGCATTGCAGAGCTTCATAAATTATAATACACTTGGGAGTGTTCTACCCAATGTATCTTCTGACAGATGTTCCCTTTGTGGGACTGTCTAATTTGGGGACATTTAGCATCCATGTCTCTAGAAATCTTCAGGGTATGATAAGTTGATTTCCTTTTTCTACGTGTGGTGACAAGGATGCAAAGTAGCCTTTTTCTATTTCTGAGACTAGTTAATAGGGGCATACTATCCTTGCCCACATCATGGAGAAGAGGGGGCAAGAAATCATTGCCAGACTTAAATGGGGAATCTCTCCAAGATATCATGACATCTCTCCATGCCCATGGGGAACAGCAAGTGAGAATGCAAGACTTTTCCAGTCATCTTTACCTATGTGGATGATAAGGCCATTTGTCTTGCCAGGACCTCCACCTGTCAAATGCACTGCATTGGGCCTTGGGACTTCCTAGAAAAGCCACTACAGAAGCCAAGAGAACAAGTTGCAAGCGTCTGGCAATGGCTTGAGCAGGTGAGCATGGGATGCTTTTCCTATGACTCCTGAGAGAACTCTCCAAGTCTTAGTCTGTAATCATTGCCGATGAGTAGCTATGAGTAGGCCAGACTGTGCAAAATGCAGAAAACATGAGAGCTTAACGTAATACCAAAGATGGCAGCAATGCCTCTTCACTTGATTCTTAAAATTTATCTTAGGACTTTGAACTCACTGAAATGACATTACTTCTTTTCTAAGCTCTGAACTCTGCAAAAGTTAACCAAAGATAGTGATAGTTTAGCAAACAGGTAAGTCTTAGAAAGTCAGACCACAATTTGGCCACTTTTCATATTAACCTTTTGCTAAAAGCTCATTTTAAAAGGTTCTACTCAAGGATGCAAAGGCTTCTGGTAATTCTTTTGATATTACAAATAAAGTTGTACTAAGTAAATCTGTGTCAACTGGAAAAATGTAAGACCTCTCAGTGCAGATTTTCAAATTTTCTTATGAAAAATATTTATTGACCTAGAATACTGCTAATCAGACTACTATTTACTCTGAGTTGCATTTGTGCAAGGCATTAAAGGGACAAAAAAGGCGTGTCCCTTACCCTTGAATAGTTGATAATTTAGAAAAGAAAAAAATACACATTACTAACAAATCTATTGGGCAGATTATAAGTGATATAAATTCTGTGTTGTAGGCATTCAGGGCAAGGCTAGATTAATTGTGCTCAGGAAAAATGGTTAGTAGAGACGGCATTTGAATAAGGCCTTAGAAAATGTATGTTTCAACGGGACGAGGGCATTGGAGAAGGGCCTTTTACGTGGAGGTGGTATCTTTAGTAAAGGCCCAGAGACAAAAAAGCATAGATGAATTAAGAAAACATCAAGTGATGGGGACTGGTTGAAGACAGGGTACAGAAGGGAAAAGAGAAAGAAACTGATCTGGAAAGATAGTCCACAGATTTACTTACTACAACTTTATTTGTAGTATCAAAAGAATTACCAGAAGTCTTAACATCCTTGAATAGAACCTTTTAAAATGAGGTTTTAGCAAAAGGTTAATATGAAAAGTGGCCAAATTGTGGTCTGACTTTCTAAGGCTTACCTGTTTGCTAAACTATTACTATCTTTGGTTAACTTTTGCAGAGTTCAGAGCTTAGCATAAAAACAGGGAGGAAATGCAGGAAGCAGGATTTGAGGACTAGGAAATAAAATATATCATTCCCTAATCATTTTTCACATATCTTAAGATTTTGAGAGTAAGAAATACTTTGTTAGCAGGTATATTTGCAAAGTAGGGCAGTAACTTCAAAGAAAAATAATGCAGGTACTAGAAAAAATTTTTTCTGAACTGGCAAATTTTTGGCTGCAGTTTAACTAATATAATCCTATTACTCACACGATTGTTTCATTAATAATTCTTTTCTCAACACTAAAATACCTTCTTAATTTAACTATGTACACACTGAGTGGCTACTTTAGAACTAGTATCTGCCAATTATTTATCCAGTCTCTGCTTTTCTGCCCCAACTTGTCCTGCTAACCTCTCACTCACTTACTCACTCACTCATTCTTCTCCAAACTCTATCAGTAACATTAAAAGCTACTACCTCCTGTAGTACCAGGTGTTACAATTAATACTTTACAATCAGTATTTAATACAATCCTCAAAACAACATAGTGAAATAGGCATTACTACCCCATCTTTTGGGTGAAGAAACAAGTTCAAATATTTGTTAAATATTTTGCTAACTGGTAAGTGGCAGAACCAGGGCTCAACCCAGATATGCTTAATTCCAGATTCCTTGCTTATTGCCACTTCATTGTAATGCCTTCATCACCTTTTAACCTCTGACACATATGGGTTAGCAATTTTAATTAGAAAATTAAAACATTCATTTAGCTCCTGCTACTGAAAAATCCTGTTCTAGGTGCTGTCGTCACAGGTATATAAGTAAGTGAGGGAGTAGCTGTAGATTATCAATGCTAATAATCTTCCATATTTGAATATAAACAGCAATATCTTAAATCACTGTGTAAGATGATATATCCCTGATTCATGAATTAGAGCAACTAAAGTCGGGGGTGAGGGTGACTCAGTATATGAAGTTGGCTCATGCCCACCTTTCTCAGACAGGCATCAATCAACTCACTAAATGACCTACAGAGAATTTTTAAAATATATTTCAGAGTCTGTGAAAACTCTGCTGATGAAATATCTGTCCTGTCAGAAGTTCTCAGCCAAATCAGCTTACAATGCTTTTCAAAGAACCTTAGCTTCCTATGAATCAGAATAAGCAAAAGCGTTTTAGCCAACAATAGGCACATTGTGGTGCCAGTTCTGGTAAAATTCATTATCAACAAGTAAAATGATTTATTCATTTGGTTAAAACACAAATGTGATATTAAACTACTTATACCATTCATTAGCCTGAATGTTCTGTAAAATTACATAGAGCTATTTAGCCAAAGAAAAACAATTCTGACATCTTTTTAAGCTTCCTGCTTTTAATATTACCTCTACCAACTTTTGAATATATTTTTGCCTCATATTTTTAGGAACCTAGTTACAGTTTTACAAGTATTAACTAGTTACATAGTTACAAATATAAGATACTGGGACAGATGTTGCTCAACAGTCCTCTTGAGGCTATAAGCTTGGGTACCCGTGGAATGCTTGGAAGGAGTCACAATTGCAGACTCATCTGCTTACTCATCTTTTTCTACAAAAGCACAGTATTCATATCACAAACTGCACAACGAAGACTCATCCAAAGACTGTAGTGACAAATGCTAATAGCATTTACTCGACAATCTAAACTCCTAATACAATTCATTTTTTAGAAAACAAAGTCAATAGTGAAAAATCACTTTAAGAGTTCAAGGGCAGCAAAAGAAATAGTGAGACACATTGTACTGACAGGTAGAAGCACCAGGCTACATAAAATGAATAGTAATGATACTCACTGCTCAATTCGGGGTGACAAGTACAGCTTGGGGTACACCTGAGTGGCTTCGGTATCCTCAAAACTGACAGAAAGGAGAGCCACATCTTCCCCAGGGTCTTCATTTACATCCTTAAACAGGAAGTGTAAAAAACAACGTCATCAGTACCTGCTCTTATAACATCTTTTTGGTGATAAACTCGTAGTTTACTCGCATTGAGGCATGGGGATGTGAATTACCTAGATTCAAATTTATTTTTTTTAAAGATTTATTTATTTTTATACAAGAGCTGGGGTACAGGCCAGAGGTGCGGGAGGGAGAGAGGATTCACCAAAGGCAGAGTGGAGAGCAGAACAGGCAGACGACAGAAATACAAGGCTAAGGGGAGCAGCGGGCACGACAGGAGAGGTCTGCTGCACCATGTGGGATTCTCACAAGCCCGCCGGCCGGGATGGAACCCACACTGCAGAGGCTGTGGACGGCTTCAGAGCGCGGTGCTCAACCCATGTGCCACCAGGGAGGCCCCCTAGATTCAAATTTAGCAGCTCTGCACATCCTCTACTGCACACCTAGTTCCTCCCCTAGAATGATGCCTTCAAACTTTCCAACCAAATAGCAAAAATATCACTATGAAGCATACCACCGCACAAGCACATGGCAGGGGAGTTATACACACATCATCTTTAGCAAAATGATAGATAATTCATTTGTGACCCACAAGATATACATATCCTTAAAAGCCCAGGTATTAGAATATCATAAGTCAAAAACATTATTGGTGCAAATATGTATCTAGAGACATTGAGAGGTTAACCAAACACACCACAATGAACTAAGTGATGATAAAGCTAAATACAAACTTATTGTAATTTATAAGTCAAAAACAAGAATAGCAGCAATTAATTTCAATTAACGCAAGCCAACACTGATGTTACACTGATGAAGTGTCCTGAATCAAAACTGGATCTTACAATGTGTATATGCTTTACGATTATTGCCAAGCACCAAGTGTTTGCCAGACTTTTGTATAAATACAAAATTAGAATCAACTATAGCAGTATACTAAGTTATTTGGCGAATACCAAATTTTCATAAGCTTTAATAATTTATTTTTTGTTGATAATAGCACCAAAATATAATTTTTTTTAACTTAATAGAATTGCACATCGTTCACCAAAAGGGACAGTAAGAACTGACCTGGATTTCTGGATCAGTTCACAGATTTTCAGGAGGGAACAACAGCCATCCTAGGAGGGGCCTAACCTAGACTCAAAGAATCCCTGCCCGTGGAAGAGCTGAATGCGCCTCAGGCACAATGTCCTTCCTTCTGTCTGAAACCAACCTTATCCATTCTTTTCCTGTATCCTGAGAAGCTGCTTATCACCCTTGTGTCACGTAGCTGTGGCATTTTCAGTCTCTGCTGTGCCTTCTTTTGTGACTACAGGATGCACAAGTGTGCACAATAAGGAATCACACACACAGGGACAGCTTAGAAAATAAAAATTTAAAAGAGGGCCTCCCCGGTGGCGCAGCGGTTGAGCGCTGGGTTGCGAAGCTGCCCGCAGCCTCTGCAGCACTGGTTCGATCCCCGGCTCCTCCCCGGCCACCGGAGGAGGGTCCCACATGGCACGCAGACCTCTCCTGCCACCCGCTGCTCCCCTCAGCAATGTACTTCAGTCCTTCTGCCTGCTCTGCTCCCCGCTCTGGCTCTGGTGAATTCTCTCACCCTCCTGCGCTTCTGACTGTACCCAGTGCTTGTATAAATAAATAAATAAATCTTAAAAAAAATAAAATAAAATAAAAATAAAAATTTAAAAGAAAGAAAAGAATCATGTCAGTCTCTATATAGTCCCCCAGATTCCCTCTGGTCTTCTTCTCACAGGATGTTTGAAAGAGTGGTCTCCACTCCCTGTCTCGATGCCCTCCCACCTTAGCCCATTACACTACCATGGAGCCCCATGCATCAAGACTGTGCCTCAGTGGAAACACTTTAACATAATTCCCTGTCCTTATCTTACTTGATCCCTACATAGTATTTGACATGGATGAGCGCTCTCTCTGGAAATACTCTTTGCTTCTAAGAAGACATACTCAACTCTTTGTACGCCTGCTCTTCCTTTTCATTCTTCATTTATTAACTTTTTAATTTGTTTGTTGTTTGTTTTTTGGTTTTACATTACAAAAAATATGCTCATTATAGCAAGTCAAACCATACACAAGTTTATAAAGGAAAAGCTCTTCTACCCTCACTTTTCAAGGTAACCAACATTAACACTGTGTAACCTCAAGCAGCTTTTTCTATGCTCATAAAAACATACACACACTTGCATATAAATAGCTTTTTAACCTTCTGTTTTGTCTTCCCTAATGGAATCAATATTATACAAATCACTCTACCAATTGCCTCATAAAATAGCCACATAGTATTCCACAGCATGGATTTATTTTTTATTAAGCCATTCCCTTAGCTCCACATTCAGGCAGTCTGTTGTTCTCAGCCACTTGATAAAGCTACAATAAATATCCTTATATGTGTATTCTTCACCAGCAGAACTTAATTTTTTAGTAGAGACCCAAACAGCTTGTTGGGTCAAAATTTATGAACATTTTACATTTTAATAGAGTTTAAGAGATCACTTTTTTCTAAAACTTTTTGTAGCAATTCATATTTAGACCCATGAGTTTGCATCAGAATAAGAGAGCCTGTCTCCGCTCTTCATAAAAAACTGAACAACACTGGCTGTCACTCTTTTTAATGTAGTTTTGGTGACCTGACAGTTAAAAAATGACATCTCAATTTCAATTCAGTGAATGAAACTGAGTGACTTTTCACTTGTTTACTGGTTATCTACATTTCTTTTGCAAATGTTCTAATCAAATCCCTCTCTCATTTTGCTTTAAGGTTCCTGGTCTATTTTTTATTGTTATTAGGTTTATTAATACTTGTCTACCACATGTTAAAAGTATTTTCTCTCAGTCTCTTTACTTTGTTTGGGGCTCTTCTGACATCACAGAAAACTTCGATTTTTTTTTTTTAAGATTTATTTATTTATTTATACAAACACTGGGTACAGTCAGAAGTGTGGGAGGGTGAGAGAATTCACCAGAGCCAGAGCAGGGAGCAGAGCAGGCAGAAGGACCGAAGTACATTGCTGAGGGAAGCAGCGGGTGGCAGGAGAGGTCTGAGCACCATGTGGGACCCTCCTCCGGTGGCCAGGGAGGAGCCGAGGATCCAACGGGTGCTGCAGAGGCTGCGGGAAGCTTTGCAACCCAGCGCTCAACCGCTGCGCCACCGGGGAGGCCCCGATTTCTAAAGTAATTAAAATTTCTTAATTCTTCGAGTTCTTAATTGTTAAGAATTAAATCCACCATGGAATATTACTCAGCATTCAAAAAAGATAAACACATGCAATTTGCAGCAACATGGATGGAGCTGGAAGGGATCATGCTCAGTGAAATAAGCCAGAAAGAAAAAGAAAAATACTGGATGGTCTCACTCATAGCAGGAATTTAGAAAACTTAAATACCAGGAAAAAGAATAACTATAAGAAAGAAAATATCAAAATCAACAAACAACTATGAACCAGAGACACTCTATGGGGGGGGGGTTAGGGGGTTGGGGAAAGTAGGGATTGGGGTCCAAATATGGGGGTTGGAATTGTATGGGGAATATAAAAATAAAATTTAAATTAAAAAAAAAAGAATTAAATCTGGTCAATAATTAAAGTATTGAATATTATTTCCCTAGTTTTTCATCTAACATTATTATAATTTTATTTTTACAAGTAAATTCACAAAACTTGTAGAATATACTGTTAGGTGGTGTAATACAAGAGGTTTGTAAGAGAAACATCTTAGTATAGTCCCTGGAACACAGACACCACTAACAAACAGGGGGACAAATATTAATTCCTAACCTTTATTCTCCACACCTAGTGGTTTTCAGGAAACTAGAAGAGTTGCTGTCACCAGTGATGTCTGGAAATTGAGTTCTGACTGATTCCTTGCTCCTGCCCCTTAATACACCAAGTTCCCTAGAGCTAGTGGCTTTAAAAGGAGAACCAAGATTGGGATTCTGATCACTTCCTGCTATGTTGCAGATGACGTTCAACCATAAATATACCTTTCTGTAAAATGAGGATATAAAATTTAAAAAGTGCTTACTTACAGTCTCAACAGATAGAAACTATGTAATTATATGACTCTAAAACTCTTGAAATATCTAAAATTAAGGTTAAAGTTGAGCTTGAAAAAAATAATACCTTCTTGGGAACAAATTTATTTCATGATCTAAGTATCCTCTTTAGTCTTCTTTAGAATTAAATTGTCTTCCTTAAGGAAGACAATAATAAAAGAACATTGACCTTCAGATACTGTGTCCTAATGACTGAGTTTTCTTGTTAAAGGTGAAGGCTCTAGGGCCTCCCCTGGTGGCACAGGCGGTTGAACGCTGCGCTGTGAAGCTGTCCGCAGCCTCTGCAGCACCGGTTCGATCCTGGCCGGCCAGTGAGGGTCCCACATGGCGCTGCAGAGCTCTCCTGTGGTGCCTGCTGCTCCCCTCAGCAGTGTATTTTGTCAGTCTGCTTGTTTTGCTTCCCGTTCTGTCTCTGATGAATCCTCTCACCCTCCTGCGCATCTGGTCTGTACCCAGGTTCTTGTATAAAATAAAATAAAAAAATTACTTAAAAAAATAAAATAAAGGTGAAGGCACTGAATGCAAATCATAAGACCCTATAAAAACACATTGCAAAAAACTAGGGGTCACTGAAAATCTTTTGAATTAACATCTTCACTGAATATGTCTATGGATAATTCATAATTATTTCCCTTTCCTACCTTTAACTTCTCATTTCACTACTATTTAGGCAAAGAACAGAAATACTTCCAGACAGTCCTCCAAACAAATGGAATGACCCTGGTTTATATAATCAACATTTATCATCTGGCATTCTACAGAGAACACGAAACATTAGTCTCAACATGAAAATAGTTTTTCCAGGAGATCCTTTTACGTACTACTTTAATATGATTTATTCCCCTTGGTGTGGCACATGAGTTTTCCCTGAATTGATATTTGATTCCTAATGGATACCTAAGTTTTACTTTTTGTGCTTAAATAAGCCCAAAGAGT